TGACATTTTTGTTTTTTTAATTGCATTACAGAAAATAAAGAACTTTATCACAATATTCTAATTTTCTGAGACAGTCCTGTATATACCTACATTATATATACACCTACATTATATATACACCTACATTATATATACACCCACATTATATATACCTACATTACCAACAAGGCAACATAACCAGACAGTTCAGTATCAATTCTGAAGGCGATTGATGTAGCTACATCTAGAAAATGTGTATGTTTAGCTAGCATCCAATCAGGGCAACAGATTTATTGCGACCTGTGATGGTTCCACTAACTGCATCAGCTTCAAGCCTAACAGTCTGAAGTTGTGCCTGATGTATTTTAGGAGTTGGCAGGTCAGCGAGTTGATGCCGCCAACATTCTTGGAAATACAGCTTTGTACCCTGTGGCATCTGATAACGTTAATGCGGCTGAATGCAACCTGATGCTTCTACCGCGGGGGAAAGGAATAAGGTACAAACCGAACCAATGAAGAACTCTATTATTATCAGTATCACTTTAAGGGTACTAAGTAGAAGGGATAAGAAAGGTTGTGTGATTGGCACGTCTGATTCAGAATTGAGCTTGATCACCTGTAAAACCTTCTAAAACTGTAAAAGTGTTTATGATTTATCTCTAATGTTTGTTTAAAGGAACAAACTGTGGAACCAAGTGAAGTCCTAGAGCCACAACAACATCTTCAGCCTGAAGAGAAACACTCCCCAGTTGCCTTTAAAGCCGGTTCTAAAAATCTCTCTGTGGTAGTTTCGGGTTCAACCTACAGTGGAGAGCATTGCTTACTACTTTCTTTCACTAACAAGATTAGAGCCGGTCAAAGCTGCAACTGCACAATGCTCTACAGTCCCGTTTGTTTCAGCTGCGGCGGCTGTAAAATGGGATAAATATGTTAAAGTAAAGAGCGGCGAGGCCTCTGGCTGCAGCCCAACTAGGAGGAAGGTGGAGGAGCATTCAGTGCGACCGTAACCCCTCCCACACTAGTCTCACTTTGAAACAGCACCAGTGACAGACAGGCGAGTAAACAGTTGTGGAAACACTCACAAAAAGACACTCAGACAACCCAAGCACAAGCACACACTTGTAAAGATTCAAGAAACAAGTTTGCATGGATATACAGGCTCAGAAACTCTCCCTGGAACTGAATGCATGAACTTGCAGAAACAAAAACACCCATAATTGCATGAAATGATGCAGAGAGGAAGAAGAAGTAGTCTGGGTGGTTCAGTCCGTAATCACAGTGGCTGTAAAGCATCTGGAGGCAGCTCCTCCACAGCCTGGGGAGTGAGGCTGCAGGGACGCTCACCATGAGGCCGTAACATTTCTTTAGAGCAGGCAGGATGTACAATCTGCTGTAAAGCCGGCAGGTTTCTATTGGTGCAGATCTCTTCCTACTACAACATCATAGCTCCATTTCTTAACCTCAGTCACCTCCAGGAGACCGGCATAGGGATTCTTCTAATGATTTCAAGAAGTACGTTTGATAATGTAGAGATATAACACGTTTGACCACAAGGTGCAAACAGCTCAAGTCAAAACCCTCCTGAAGCTTTCACATAATAATAAACTATACATATGGAGGATGTTTATGGAAACTCCAAAAAGCATAAGAGGGCCTCTTTAAAAAGTCTCATGAGAATATACTTTATTTCAGGTCAAACTACTGTAATTTTCGGACTATGAGCCGTGCCTTTTTTCCCATTTTTCGACCCTGCGGCTTATATAACGGTGCGGCTAATCGATGGATTTTTACAGCTAACGGCCACTAGGGGACCTCATAAATCTATGGATTTTACAGGTTACAGTCCACCACCTTTAACTCTATGGGCTCTATGGCCGGTCCGCGCCCCCCACCTTTAAGCGGCGGGCTCCAGCAGGATAAGCTGGAGGCCGGAAAAGAGTGAGACAGGTAGCGTGCAAAAGTAAAAGTGGAACCGAGAGTGGTACGAGAGACAGAACGAGAGCAAGACGGACAGACATTACGAGAGCGAGACAGTTTGTCCCCGTACCACTGGTTGAAAACCACTTCTGTAGATCACTGCCGGTACGTGCGCTGGGAGCGCACCGTTTAAGTTTGAAAGTTGAAAAGTTTGTGTGTCTGAAACGCTATGTGATACAGTACAGTTTACACAGCACAGTACATGTTCTGTAGCTACTATTGCACTAAATGCTAACACTTGAATACGTTATGGAAATATGCAACTTGTTTGTTGAAATGTTAATAAATGGGAGCTTCCTCAAACAGCCATCTCTTTCCCGACAATCCCCTCTGTGCACGAACCCTTACATATGGTAATTAAACATTAAAACACCTGCGGCATATAATCCAGTGCGGCTTATATATGTACACATCATTCAATTTAGCTGCTGCGGCTTATATTCAGGTGCGCCTTATAGTCCAAAAATTACGGTATATATAATCGGTTAACTCTTCAGCTCTAATTAACATTCAGATTAAAACCAAGTGTGCGTTTTATTTTCTCCGGTAGAATATTGGCTACTGCAGCTTCTATAAGAAGATAAGGGGGGAATTGAGGGACACGTAAAATAAAAAACGACATTTTTCACCAATGTTCAACATGGAACAGGCAATTATATTTGACGTAGATATAAAAATGGGCCGTATAGAAAGAAGGACAGCCAGCACAAACTGTCAAGAAACTCTGGGAACAGACTGGGTTCTCACTGAAGAGAAGAGAACAGGCTAACTAGGCAGACTTTCATTCAGGAGGACGCTGGTGCGGTGAGTTACCAGGGAGATGCTCCAGTACTTTGTGCACAGTGTCTCAGTCTACAGTTTGAGTCCAATTAGGAGAGTATGTGTGCTGAATTCAGCCGTCAGGTTCCTATACGTTTGAAAAGGCTAATCTGTGGCAGCGCAGCAAGGAGACAAAAACAACTGGATCGGAGAGAGGGCAAAGAGTTTCCCCAGCAACCTTTTCCACTGCAAAGAATAAGTGACTGATGATGGGAAGGGCTAATCTGGTACTTTGAAGATCATGATCATACTTTATGTCAAATGGGAAGTCATTATTTAACAAGTAGTGTCCGTCCAATTGTTCCCTTGTTTTTAATTATATACAGAAAGCAAGTTTAGTAATAGGTGCTCATTCATTTGCTCTTATAAGCCATGCGTTTAAACGAAGGGTTTAAAAGAAATGGTTAACGCATAAAAAAACAAAACATAATCGAAGTAAAACTATTATTATTTTTTTCTTTTAATTATTTATTTTATTGGTTTTTCAGTTGAATTATACTAACTTGAGGGTAATCAACTGTTAAAAACATACTGTTCACATTTTCTTTCAATAAATTGATGTTTTCAAAGTAAATGGATAATCGTTTTTAATAATCGTGATATCAATTATTGACCCAAATAAATCGAGATTATGATTTTTGCCATAATCGAGCAGCCCTATTTCAACATGTATATTATCAACGTGTTTTAAATGCCATTTTATTTCTATTTGAGATGTTTACATTTTGGATTGTTTATTTCTAGTCTTTTAATTTCTCTAATGTACAATGCCTTTATGCTGCTGCAACGCAAACATTTCCCAAATTGGGATCAATTAAGTAATTCTTATCTTAAATCCAATAGCCATTTCCCACTCATGAGTCCACAGAATTGAAGGCAGCTCACACTGGCACTGAACCAAGCAGCAGAAATGAACAGAGCAGAACCCACACACTTTATCTGTCAGACTGAGACCACAGAGACACTTTCAACAGAAGAGGGAGGAGACAGGGCTGAGATATGAACAGCGACGGTGATAAGGCTCGCGGTAGAGACGCCAAAAACTGGATGATAACAGCAACTGACTCAGCAACTGTTCAGCTGTCACGACTAACACAGACAGACAGCTGGGCCTGTGGCTGGCATGGATACAGATGAAGACTCACAGGGAACACATTGACACTCAGTGAACATGCTCCATCAGCGGAGAAGCAGAGGAAAAAGAGAGGGGGTGAATGATTCTTTATGTTTTGCACCAAACCCAAAGAATTAGAATAAATTATGTTTCTTACAATGAACTCAGTTTTGGGGGACCGTAGTGAAAGCCTTCACTTTGAGTAAGCAAAGGGAGGTGAAGCACAGAGGACGGCCTTTGTGTGTACAGTCATTGAAATGCACAACAGCTTTAGGTGTACAGTCTGTTGGCATGTTAAACCGTCCTAGTTTGTCTCTCCCAAGACACAACACCCCCCACGGTTTCCCATGAGGTCATCCCCACCGGTCGCAGTGCATTTTAAGGCAGTTTAAAAATCTGTCAATCTCAGGGGTTCTTAATATTTTAGATTTTCTTTTTTTCCCTATTTCTCAATGGATTATTCATAATCAAACTAAAATTGCACACAAGATTGTTTGGATTAAATTAGAACTAGACTTGTCACAAAGTATCGTATCCTGTGATGGCAATGTCTCAGATGTAGATTTGATAAATGTATTCCCTCTTTCTCGTAGACACTTGCAGGGTTTCGTGATTTTGAATAATTTAGTTTCTGCTCCCTTTATTGAATCACACTGTTATTCCGTCTTGCCATTTGGCGATGCAACTTAGAGTGAAAAGTGTTTGGTTTCATGGGTCAGGTCTTCATACTGATTGAGAGTGTGTACAAATTGAATCAATATCATAACAATTACATATTTCAATATTGCACAGTTTCCATGGATGTTAGAACAGAAATCCTTTTGTCTTTAAAAGCCCTGGGGGTATATTTCACAAAGGCAATTTGCAAGGTCAATGGCATTATACAGTTTCAAAAATAATTGTTGCTCGCAAATTGCAGATACATTTGGGAGTCCTGCGGTGGCCTCACATGCTAATTCAGATGTCCCTCCTTTGTAACAATTACTTTATGATTGATTGAAAAAGCACATTTGATTATATTAAAAATAATGAGAGAATCCATTTATTGAAATTGCAGCTTGCGTGATTCAAATCTGTGCTTGTGTTTGGGCGTAAACATGACCTGCATGAATAAGTAAATGAAGTGTTAGCACCACGACTCACCGGGCCTGCAGCGTAGACCGTCAGCGGCCAGCTCCTGTCCGTCGGGGCACACACACGTGTATTTGGCAGAGTGTTTGTTGATCTGCGGTGCGGGAAGACACATGTAGCTGCAGCCCCCGTTCTCACCTTTCTCCACACACCAGTTAGTACCTGAAGTAAAAGGCAACACTTGTTACCATGATGGCCATGGAGAAACAAGATCTGCAAATAAGACGGCAATCATTAAGAACAAGATCAAGCCACAGGGAGATGTTCCAGTACTTTGTGTACTGTGTCTCAGTCTACAGTTAGAGTCCAATTAGGAGAATAAGACGGCAATCATCAAGCACAAGATCATCAAGCCACATGATGACATCTTTAGCAACCTTTTCAGCCATGTTTGTCAAATATATTTGTTCACAACTACATAGCAGCTTTAGGTATTCCCAAGTTAAAGGTGACCTATCATGCAAAATGCACTTTTGTACATCTTTTCTACATGAACATGTGTCCCCGGTGTTCCAGGGAACTCACCAAGTGTCAGAAAACACAACCCTCTCTCTTTTCCTCCATACCCAAATCTCTTAAAAAGGGGGTGCAACGGATCTGATACAGACTGATCCAGATTTGAACACTTCTATGACGTCACAGAAGTGGCGCTACGGCTATTGGGCCAACTCCACCAATCAAGAGGAGACACGGACATTGCCGTTGGAAAGCACTGGAGACGCTGTAGTACATATGCCAGGCCTGTAGATGGTGCTGTTCTCACAGAATCAGCCCATGTAAAGACAGTGTTAAATTGAGAGAAATGAGGAATGGCTAAAATGCATGATCTGTTTGGTATTTTGAAAAATTAAAAGTATAAATATGCCTTATATAGGTATGGTCCTACACTATATTATTCAAATATAGCATGATAGGTCCCCTTTAAGTTTTTACTGTTTTTCTTGTTTCATAGCATACAATGTGAAAACCTCTTGTGTAAACCATAGATCTTATTCCAGGTTTCTATCCAAAAATAAAACATTGATTTCCAGATAAGTGCTGAGGTTTAAAGAGTCATTCCTGCAGCTCTCTTTTCTCTCTCAGCAGATTCTTACCCGACAGCTGGATCAGCTCGTGGTACACGATGATGTCCTGCGGGTCGTTCAGGTTGCTGGCGAGCGTCACCACGTCAGCGCCAGTGAACTTGTTTGCGCAGTAGATGGCTTCATTCTCACCGTCCGTCCAGAACACTCGATCCTGGAGAGAGGACAGGAAAATAAAGCTTATTTTCATATTAATAGCTAAAACCTACAATGTTTTCAAAGACAACTGCCAGCTAATCAGAAACAGGATAACATGTTTAGTAAACTATAGTATTAATATCTATATTATTTAGATACAATACAAATAATTCATTCTTTACAGACACAGAAAAAGTGTATATGTGATATTTGATGATGTTCTGGTACTAGATTATTCCGCCCACAAATGAGTGTTGGTGAGTTTGAGCTTAAATACTGCGCAAAATGGGGAAGGATAGATTTGTCATTACATATTCAACCATCTGTGTCCTAATGCCATCTGTGTGGCGTTCACATAAGAACCACCTGTCAATCAATTTGATGTTCTGCTGATTTAAATGCACTGCACTCTGGTCTTGTCAGCCTTGAAGGATTTCGCTGCTCAAGGTGATATGTTAATCCTGTTCTTCACATGTTACCGAAAAAAACTGAACTTCCTGTGCAGCAGAACACATTTCCCAATAGAGGATGTGATGAGCACTGAATATAAAGCCCCTCATGGACTGATTATACGTTGGATCACATTTATTTTAGCTGAAAAAGGACAAAGTTAATGTGGTTTTGTTTACACAGTAATTTAGCTATGGTGTTAGTGTATGGTTCAGTTAGAATGGTGCACTACAGAGCGTTCAGAGATGAGCAAATGTGCCTGCATGTGAATAAATGTAAATGTGTGTGAAGCGAGTTAGCTTTGTACGAGTGGGTGTAGGTGAGAGAGACAGACGGAGCGCCACATGTCCATGATTCACAAAGGTTTCATAGGGAAGGCAGTCCTGATGCATATAACAGATATCATTGTATCTACCGTTAGGACACTAAGTTTCAGATAGAAAACATGAGCTGCTTTTCACAGTGCTGATTTCAGATGAACATGCTTTATGTGTGCTCACTAAAAAAAGGCAAAGTCCAAGCTATTCGGAATTTGAGCCTTTACTCTGAATCACAACTTCCTTAATTCTATAATCAAACGGTGAAAGGATGCGAAGAATAACTCATCTCCCATAGCTATCACATTAAGATCATTGAAATGCACACTTAAACACTTTTTCCATAAACATGCATGGTTAGGCTTGACCGGCACAAAAGGAGCACATATTGGACAATGACAGACAACAATGAACGACATTAAGACTAATTACGTGAGTCTTCTCTACAGGGCTGTCCCGAACACCAGTTTTTCGGGCTCCGGATATTCGGTAGTAATCAGCAGCGAATATTCGGCCCGCGCGGGGGGGTGCGTAGTAATCAGCAGCGAACTGCTTCAACACGTGTATTTCGGTTTATTCATGGCATTCATTTTGTTATTCTACAGTATTGTTGTTTTATAGTTATTTGTTAATGTAACCCAATTTGTGTTCTTTGAAATTGAAAAGGATATTGCATTGTGTTTGTTACTTTCGTTGCAGTTAATTATATATCTAATATACACGACGAAACTGCAAGTAACTTATATCTACTGTCACTTTCACATTGAACATGTGCTCCTTTTAAAATAAACTAACAGCTTCTCATTTTAAGTTGTGAGTTTAGTGTTTTTGACCCAAAGAAACACTGATACGTTAATCAATAACAATAATCCACAGCTCCTCTCTCTGCTCCAGAGGATTTAAAAAATATATATCCCAATTTAACAACTTTAAAATCACTGAAGACAGGATGTTCAAGACCCTCTAGCGTACATTTGACCTGGGATTTAGCTCTGCATTGAATTGAACGATCGTCCGGTGCACCAAAGAGTGATTCAATCTAACTTTATTCAATCTTGGGACCCTGTACCTCCGATTTGATGTCATTGCTAAAATGACTTTGCTGATTTGAGTCGTTAAAAGGACACATTATATCAGACACCACACGTGTATAATATTTGTATCATTTCCAGACTGTCAACCCAAACTGACCGAGACTGAAAGAGATGCCGTCCAACTTGTTCCAATCAGTAATATATTCAGCTTAGTGTGTCCCTGTTATTGTCAGAGTGGATGAAGAGTGTGTTGCAGACATTAGAACAGCAGGTACCTCAAAAACAGTGAGCGCGAAGGGATGAGCCAGGTACTCTGAAGACTGGAGCACTTTCTTCCTGTTGTCTCCGTTCAGATCCACGCTACAGAGCATGTGCAGCTTCGAGTCGACCCAGTACAGCCTGCCTTTGATCAGATCTGAGAGGAAGATGAAGCACAAGAACAACCAGGAGAGGGGAGAAAAAGTAGAGGGAGAAATAACAAGAATGGATGATAAATGGGAGTATATCGACGGCAGAGCAAGAAAGAAGGGATTGAATAATGACAAGGAAAGAAAGGAGTGATAAAAGGGAGAAGTGGGGATGGTCATGTTGGTCAAGGAGAAAAGATGATAAGGAGAGAGATCTAAATCAATACATTTCATTAACAGGGACAAATCAATAGCTTTGTTCCACAGTGTAAAAGATGGAAGTACAGGAAGAGACAGAGGAACAAAAGGAGAGCCTGTGATTGTACGATCTGCTCAGGTGTTGTTAGATAATATAATTATCAATATCAAATCAACGAGGAGGGAATTGGATTACCTGACAAGGCCGTATTGTTTATTCCTTTTAATAAGTACTTGGGAGGGAAGCTGCTACCTTAGCATGCAAATTCAAACTAGGAAAGGCTTCATCTTCAAAGGAAAAGTCATTCGTAAGGTTTTAAAAACACGAATAATACATGGCAGTCGAAGACAGGAAGAACTGGACAAAATGAGAGAGGACATTTTAACATTGATTGTGAAGTGTCAGTTCAGGGGACAAGAAAGTGTTCTGCAAGTGGAATTGTAATCACTGCAAATATTCACACTGCAATTACTCCGAGTGTTGGATAAAACAACACAAAGGCATTTCACTTGCAGTCGTGCTTCGGCACAAGAGTTTGTGTTAAAGCTTCAGAGCAGCTTTTGAACAGTGGATTTTCATTTTCGTTTGATGCAAAACAGTGAAGGAAAATATGCAGGGATGATGTGGACACACATGGTGGATGATTCATGGGTGTGTGTGCAGTGGTGAAGTACATTTACTCAGATACTATCCATAGTACAAGTACTTCAAAATAGTACTGAGTATTTCCAATATAGGGGTTTCTACTCCACTACACTACTCAATTATGTGTTTAAGCACATTTGAATTTGGGTATTTAAAGACCCAAGTATTTATTGTGTCTGTCTGTCTGTCTGTGTGTGTGCGTGTGCGTGTGCGTGTGCGTGTGCGTGTGTGCCTGTGTGTGTGTGTGTGTGTGTGTGTGTGTGTGTGTGTGTGTGTGTGTGTGTGTGTGTGTGTGTGTGTGTGTGTGTGTGTGTGTGTATAATCTACCTATAAATGGCCCTGTGGCCTAGGTCAGCCCAGAAGATCAGCTGCTGGCCAAAGTCAGCATCCAGAGCCACGGTGTTCCTCTGCTGCTCCACGATCTGAGTGTACTCCTTCCTCTCCAGGCCGAGGCGGCGGATGTCTCTGCGGTTAGTGAAGATCAGGCAGGGCTCCTTACCTGAGGACAGGGAGGTGAAGCTTAATTTGACAATTTAGGTCTTCAAAGTGGACATCGGTTGCTCTGTTATACTTGCTGATGTTGGAGACCATCACATGACATAATGAATGAATCTCTCAAATGTTTAAAATATGTTATTAAGGTGTGTGGGCTTCTCTGTCACAAAAAATCAGCCTGAACAGAGCCATACACGCCCAATTTGTTGGTAGCGTGTAGCCAGAAACTACCATTTCTCAGTTAAACGTCCAACTAGGTACCATTTTTGAAGAGATAATTATGGTGTGATAGAAGAGGAATCATATAACAGCCTATATAAACATTATGCAATCGATTTGGAAAACAAAACATCATGCGGAAACAAACAGTGATGGTCTTTGTCAAAGAACGACACAATCAACAATACAGCAGCATGTGATCACACTAGAGATGACTGTATCCAGCAGCAGGAAAACTCTACAGCCTCTCTCATGGTATTTAACAACTTATTATATTTCTACCACATTACGGCATGGTTACATTTTCCACCATAACTCAAAATTAAAATTAAAATAAAACCACAACTTAACTTATGCAGGTCTCCTTTAAGAAATACTTGTCATACATTCTTTAAAACCTATAAACTATTTGTTGATATGTGATTAAAGAGTTGTGAATAAGGACAGTCTATATGCTCACAATGGTAACAGTGGGGTAACCAAGAGCAGTGGCCCCTCCATTCAAATATGAATTTGACCAGCCTCGTAAATTCTGGATGTTTATTTCAAGAAGAGTCTGTTTTTAAAGCTGACAGATTCCCCCGACATAATTTAAACTTGTACTCTGACCCAGCTTAACCTTGCAGACTGAAATAAACTTCGGGAGCTTCTGATCTCTATGACAGTGCAGTGACAGACCATAAATCACCATAAATTACCCATTATTTTATAACCCAGCATTTTACAGGACATCTTGGGTCATTTTCCACAACTTGTGCATGACAGGAAAGCTGCGCTCAATTGTGTGTATTTTATTTCAAACTAAAGCAGTCAAACACAACAGCCCATCTCATAATTGTTTTTGTAGGAACCCCTTATAGATGTTAATTGATTAATGGATCAAATATTTCTCACATTCATTGCTTCTGAATGAATAAAAAAACATCTCAAACAATATATTTATACATATTTGTAATCCACTTCCCTAGTTTTCTTAGCACTCACCAACAGCCTTGCAGACTCCGGTAGTGGGATCCATCTGGTAGCCGTTGTGGCACTCACACTTGTAGCCGCCCTTCAGGTTGATGCAGATCTGACTGCAGATGCCGGGGTTCATACACTCGTTGATGTCTGTACAGAGAACGAAGAGAAGTGGGTTGAGGAAGAAACTAGTTGTTAAATCACGTCTGCTGAATGATTTAATTTGGATAATCAGTCGTTTGCACACAGCTCTGAAAACAATTACCTTCTGAAACAGTCCCATGATATCTATTGCATGAGGTTGGAAACTAATGTGAGCTTGGGAAATACAGAGCATAATAACTATTATCACTGGATGTTTTAGCAATTGCCCTCGTCAGAATGAAATGTAAATATGCAGATGATTGAGTAGTTATCTTGTACCTGGGAGTAAATTAAGAGAATTATGCAACCAGTGTTTTCACTCCAGAAGGGATTAAACACCTCCCACTATCCAGAGCAGTGCTCGTGCCAAGTCTGGCTCAATAACAAAAGTGTTGGAACTGAGACTCCTGAATATAATCAAGGAGATTTAATAATAAACTACAACAGACAATCACAGCACACTAAAGCCTTTGAAGGACAGAAGGTCAAAGTATGAACATGTACCAGCCTTAAGTGAAATACCTGCAGCTTTAAGTATGTGTGACCAAGCCTGTTGGATTTGTTGTTTCTAAGAAAGACAAACATAGCAACACACCTCAGTCTAAACAAACCATCCAGGACATTAACCTGCCAAGAGCTTTGTCATTTGGGATTTATTGTGAGCAACGTGATGATTAAAGCTGAAAATCCTGTCTGGTCTACTTTTCTGAGGTTAAGGCTGTTGAATCTGTTGCTACGGTAGCCTACACTTCACATGAAAACGTTCAAGTAAATTAATAACCTGTGGGAAACAAAAAATAAAAGCTGCCAAATACAGAGCGTCATTAAAGAAAGTAAACGTGCCTCAATAAATCAAACATTCAATCTTCTCACACTATACAACTCAAACTCATTTCCATCCGACAGTATGCTTCCTCACAACTTACTGTAAGTGTTGCGGACTATCGCTTACATACAAGCATTATCCTTATTTTGTTAATTAAAATAACTTTTCTTTTGGAAAAGACAAACTAAACTGCTTAAAAGGTATTCTCTGTCACAACCAGTTAATCGTTGAGATCCCTAGTACAAAATATATTTGGTTTGACAGTGAAAATATTTCGTCAAAAAGCTCCAGTGTTCAGGTGACCTACCTCCGCAGGTCTTGTGGTCGATGAGCTGAAGTCCAGGCGTGCAGTCGCACTCGAAGCCGATCACCATGTCTTTGCAGATGTGAGAGCAGCCGCCGTTGTTCAGGAGACACTCGTTGAAGTCTGAAGCACATGAAGGAAACGGGCTTTGTTGTAACTATACAGGGACAGTTATCATGAAATAAAGACAAACTGTAGCTAAATAGTTAGTCAAGATTTCTCTATTAAGGTATTCAGAGTTTAGACTGGAAGCAAGAGGGAGCTTTTATTTGGTTTCATTCAATTTATCATTTACACGATATGACAATCTTTTTTTCCTGAGCTTTAGAAAAACTCGGACGTTTAGTATTCCGATCGGCCGAGTTTTTTGATCCATGAAAGAGAATTATTTAAAAGCACTTTTCGTTCTCTCGCGCTGAAGTGCAGATTACACATTGAAGGCAGAAAACACACATATCAGATGAATCCATTTGGACAGTGAGAAATGTCCTCTAGTTTTAGCCTTTTTGCCCAAATTCAACTCGCATCTTTCAAAGTATGGACACTTCCCTGCCCAGAGGGGAAGTCATCAGATGTACTCACTGAAAAGCAATTTGTCTTGTAAACAGTGACCGAGTGGCCTGTCGAGACAAATCTAAATGTTAAATCTTCTTGCTGCGCTTTGGTTTGTTTTTATTCTGGGAAATCAAACTTGAGTATTTGTAGTTCAGCAACACGTTGCTGACATTTAGAGCTGCCAGGAGGGGAAGCACACAGAGACTTTTTAACAAGGGAAATTTGCAGATTCCGCTAGACAGACACACTGTGGGTCGATCACAGCTTAGCCTAAAAGACATTTCATATTAACACAGGCTCCAGTACAATACAAGTATTTTTTTTACTCACTGCATTCTTTGATGGGTTCGTCGCTCCAGTCGGGACAGTCTCGGGCTTTGTTGCACACTTTGCTCATCTCGATACAGTCCCCGCTGCGACACTTGAACTTCTCTGGTCCGTTACACTGAGTCACTGTGGAGGGATACGAATAACTTTACAAGCGTACTTTAATACTTACACACAAACTTCCAATTACACAGAAAGCTGCAAATGCATCATTTCATATCAGGACTCTACCTTTTGGTTTTAAACCGATCAAGGCTAGCAGTTTCGCCCTGCATCAAGTCTGTATGCTAAGCTAAGCTAATCACCCAGTGGATCAATCGAAGTACTTGATACCAAGACGTGTGGTATCAACAGTCCTATACGCAACACAATTTCCTTTCTTGCAAATAGCCACATTTCCCAATATGTCCAACAATTCTTTAAGCGTTTACATTCTCCTTAAGGCTCCTCAAGCTTTTAAACTCCATTTGAACATGAGAAAGCCAGACTGCAGACAATAGACCAGCTCAAATGCGTGAGAAAACAGGATTCTGTAACAAAGTAAAGCCTCAACAGGTTTGTTTAGCATCCCCAGTTGCTAGTTCGGTTATGGAAAAGGTTTTAAACACCTAAAGCCCTTTTCTCCCCACAGCTATAGGAACTTCAAATAGCTGCATTTTCACAAGGTGACAAACACCTTCAGCATCCAGTGAGAATCTTCCATAACTAATGTGTTTACAAGGCCAAGCTGTATGCTACTGGAGACAGAACAAAAACTCATGTAAACTTGATAACCAGAAGGATTCATTTCCCTTCATCAGCACACACTACAACACAGCATTGTTAGTAAAAAAGCTTTCAAAACACATCTCACACACAGTGAACACACACGCTGAGCGCAACGTGAAGTGGATGGAAACCACTTTGAAAATACATGTGGACAGCAGCTACACCAGTACCCACTCTCTTCTTCTGACCCACATGAAAGTCAAAGGAGGAATTTTGAAAAATCAAAAATTGTCTAGATACAAGAAAAAGGAAATTCTTCTACATTGTGAAGGTAAACCGACCCTTTCCTCAAACGTTCTCTACCAACATGACTTGAGCCGAAAGCACCGTTCTACATCCCCTGACATTTATAACGGTTATTTGTAAAGCTGCACACACACAGAGCACTTACTGTTTTTGCAGTTGACCTCGTCTGAACCGTCAGCGCAGTCTCGGAGGCCGTTGCACTGCCTGCTGCCCAGGACACACTTTCCATCGTCACATTTGAACTGATCCGATCCACACGTCCGTACAGCTGCCAAGCACACACACAATACTTTTTTATGCATGCTTCTACGTAACATTAAGCCATCTTTGGCTCTTTTACTGCTGTAACCACGTACATTTCCCCTCAGTGGGACTAAAGGTATTCTGATTCTAAACTACCATTTTTTTTAAAATACTGGGATAGCAATTTAAGATAAATATGATTACCGTAATTTTCGGACTATATACAACGGTGCGGCTAATCTATGGATTTTACAGGTTACAGTCCACCACCTTTAACTCTATGGGCTCTATGGCCGGTCCGCGCCCCCCACCTTTAAGCGGCGGGCTCCAGCAGGAAAAGCTGGAGGCCGGAAAAGAGTGAGACAGGTAGCGCGCAAAAGTAAAAGTGGAACCGAGAGTGGTACGAGAGACAGAACGAGAGCAAGACAGACAGACATTACGAGAGCGAGACAGTTTGTCCCCGTACCACTGGTTGAAAACCACTGCTGTAGATCACTGCCGGTACGTGCGCTGGGAGCGCACCGTTTAAGTTTGAAAGTTGAAAAGTTTGTGTGTCTGAAACGCTATGTGATACAGTACAGTTTACACAGCACAGTACATGTTCTGTAGCTACTATTGCACTAAATGCTAACACTTGAATACGTTATGCAAATATGCAACTTGTTTGTTGAAATGTTAATAAATGGGAGCTTCCTCAAACAGCCATCTCTTTCCCGACAATCCCCTCTGTGCACGAACCCTTACATATGGTAATTAAACATTAAAACACCTGCGGCTTATAGTCCAGTGCGGCTTATATATGTACACATCATTCAATTTAGCTGCTGCGGCTTATATTCAGGTGCGCCTTATAGTCCGAAAATTACGGTAAAAAAAAAAAGGCAACATTCCCTGGCTCCAGCTTCTAAAATGGGAGGATTTGTGCTTTTCTTCAGTCATTTTAAATATAATTTGTATGTTTTTTTTTACTTTGAGTCAGAGATAAAACACACAGGGTACTAGGTTTTACAACTTAAACCCTCAAGTCCATCTGAAAAACAGATGTTTCATCACACTGTACAATAGGGTCAACTTCCTAGTAATTGATAAAGATTCATATCTTTGATTTCAGTGACACATCCCAAACTCTTTTATTTGCCTTGGCAATCTTAAAGCTGGGCTGGAAAAAGCAGGTCAGTAACTAAATCTGACGGATAAAAACTGACAGTTTAAGTGTTACCCACGTGCTGTGGAAACAAATGTTTTATGATGTTAACTTGTTTATTTATGTGTTGATGACAGCTGGTGTGTACATACGACAGTTGGCTTCGTCGCTGCCGTCTTTGCAGTCGGGGTCTCCATCACACCTCCACTTCTTGTGGATGCACTCCCCTGAGCGGCACTGCATCTCGCTGGACGAACACTTGGCGGGCGGCGTCGGGTGGCGGCCGCAGCGAGAGGGAGACTCATCGGATTGATCCTGCAAAGGACGGACATTTTCTTGGTTTGAGTTTACTGCTTTTGGCCTGTGTTTTAGCCCACATCCATTTTGTAAAAGTGTTCCCACTTGCTTTTCACTCGCTGTCATCAACACTTGCTGGCTGGCAGTTTCCCAGCAGGGAGCCTGCCATTTCACTTATGAATTTTTAAAAGCATTTGGAAAAACTAAGAGCAATTTTGTAGCGTTTGACGTTTTAATCTGGTAAGGCCCTCTGACTGAACAGACATTTTGGGACAGAATACAAACATACAAGTCAAGATCAAGGCTGAATTAATTTCACTTATATATTTTTGTATGCGTTTACTTTGATTATCCAAAACAATCTGAATTCTGCACGTATGATGTTTTACTCTGCCAGACAGTTAGCTTTTGGAGTCACTGCACTGAGCCTTGGTAAAAGGGAAATAATCATATTTAAAAAAACATCAAACAATTCATTAATCTGTCAACCTGAACATTTACATAATCTTGAATGTTATGACTAAGCTATATTTAACTCAGCCTTTCTCTTATTTTATCTGGGGAAAAGAGACTCCAGTAAGAATAAGGCGAGGATTCCTCCTACAGCTTTTTAACACACATTTCCCTTTTTGTTTAAATGTAGCAGGCTGGCTCCCGACTTAAGTTATTTTCAGATATCAGACACCAAGTAAAGACCAACGTCATTATCGGTCAATCCAAGCAAAGACACAATAGTCCACTAGGGAATTCACGACAGATGCATTTTCATCAATATTGCCCCAAAAAAGTAATCAAGGAAATTAATTGCAGTAGAAATATCTTGTTTTTTTCTCTTCACCTAACACCAATGATCGATTTAATAGCAGAGTCTTTGAGAGGCTGTTAAGAAATGAGCCTTGATCTGATTGGCCGAAACCAGCAGGATTCATTGAGACTGCAGTAACAACACCACTGCTGCTGCTGCTGCTTCCTTGCAGGGATGAGACGAGTCTTTCATTCCCCAGACAAACAATTAACCTACGACAATGAAGTGCTGACTAGTTGACAATTGTGTGAAACATTGATTGACAGGTGATGAGCAGGGCCGCAGTGATAGAGCTTTAAGGACTCTGATCCCACAGACGATTAGCACTAATAGGAATCAAACCCGGGCAATCAGACAGGATGGGATCGAGAGGAGCAGCGGGAAGACTTGCTCTCACTTACATCAGCTCAGAAAGTCACTGACTCCCGTGGGAGCAGATGAATGGAGTGCGAGACCGAGATTGTGTGCTTTTGTGTGTCTGGCACTCTTACTATTAACTGTGACACAGAGAGGGCTGGGTGTGAGAGAGCAGCAGAGTGAATAACAATGACCTTCTAATTGAAGAAAGTATTTAAAATATTTGTGGGTGAGAATATATGCAACACTGTTTCCATTTTCCTGCTCAGGCCGCCACAGTGATAACCGCACAGCCAATTAGCAGCAAATGGGCAAACTGCAGACTCTGTAAAACTGGCTCTGCTGTGCTGGGAGTGTCAAAGTCACTGTGTGTGTGTGTGTGTGTGTGTGTGTGTGTGTGTGTGTGTTAAACTTGTAGAACCGGTGTGTGTGTGTAACATGTCCCCAGGGATCTCACGACGGACAGTTCATTATAGTGAGGCAACATCTGCTGAGAAAATAAGAGGGTGTGACTGTATTAAGTATTTTGTGATAAAAAAAGGTGTCAGAAAAATCCCAGCTATAAAAAGATGCAGAAAATAGAATAATTACATTTAAGTGGTTTTCCGAGGGGAGGACAATAGTCAAGGGGCTTTACCAAATGCACATAAAAATACCGATGCAATGCGTCACACTTAAATTAGTTTGGCAAACTGAGGACACAAGAGACTCAAACTGCTGTCCTCTATCCATGCACCTTGTCCACAACTTGTGTTCTTTTCCCCCTGAACTTTCTTAAATGTGTGGCATTTTATTTGTGTTCCTCTTACCTGGCAGTCCACGTCGTCGTCACACACCCAGCTGGCCGGGATGCACGAGGAGTTTCCACACTGGAACTCGCTGGGGCCGCAGGAGGACGGCGCGCACTCCACCTCGTCCGAGCCGTCGCCACAGTCGTCCTCGCCGTTACACACAAAGTTACGGGAGATGCAGCGACTGCTGGAGCACGTGAACTCGTTTGGAGCGCAGGTGATGTTACCTGGAGGGCAGAAGAAACAATAGTGAGCATGTGTGAGGCTTAACAGCTCAGTCGCTCAAAAGAAAATACATTTATTTACAACAAGGTCAAGTCCCAGAAGTCATTTCATACGGCATGAATCAGCATAGCAGTCATCAGTCTTTTCCTAACCCAACGTTTGAATTTCAGTATTTTCAAGTAGTAGCAAATGCAACACGTTGGCAGAGAGCAGAGTGTTTGAAAGCCATCTCTCGCTCCCCACACAATCACCGCCCACTTCTTCCCAACAGCCACAAAGTGAACCACACACACACTTTAGGGAAATAACATCTTTAAGTCATACCAGACATATTCAAACTAGCATGTTTGCACTACTTTCCCTAATAAAACCTCCTCCTTCTAACATTAGGAGTAGAACATGGCAGAAGGATGCAATGTGTGGCAGCTTAAGGAAGCATGTGAGGTTAAAGTCACTGAAACCTTGCATCCCACTACACAAAACATCCTCTACAGAGATTTGAATGTGAAAAAGGGAAGACAATTAACAAACGTCGTCTCCTTCTAAGCAGCTTTCAGTGATTAGCATCTTCAGCCAGAGGGGACGGTACACACTAGATGCACACATTCTTAGCACAGCGCTGGCATCAGTCCTCATACCGCTCCTTGTACTCACTAAAAATTGGCATGCTATAGTATAGAGCAGGGCTTCTCAAACTCCGGACCCAACTGCAAATCAATCCGGACCGAACCCTGTGTCCCATTATAAAAATTATACAAAATAAAAAAATTAACTTTCTGATTCTGATGCAAATTAATGTATATTTTCTTGTGTCTGACGCTTTGTGAGAATGAACGTGCATATATATTTACTTGTGCTCGAGCGTGACACGTAATTGCAGACCGCAAGTTAACCGCAAGTTTACCTTGACTTTCTAATGCCTTTTTTGTCGAGGTTCAAGGCATTGGCTACAGACAAACAGTTCCATTTCTCCCACTAGTTCAAGCCATCATACTGTATGTATGTATTGAATGTGTTCGTGTATACAGACTGCCTGCCTGCCTAGTGCCGACAGGCAAGGCAGGCAAGTGCTTGGACCAGAAGGGGGCCCCCAAAGAAGGTAGATTAAGAAGGTCCACAGCAACGACAACATGAAACACCCTTTAATTTACTGCAACGACACGTCGGGAAACCCCCTCAAGGGGGCCCCATGCATAACGCACCGTAAGAAACTGCTTCATTATTTCAGTTTCGTTAAATTGAAATCATCAAAACCGTACACCCCAGCACGTGCACTCCGCTCTGCATCAGCCAAACAGCTCGCTGCACTGCCAAGGCACACGGGACCCAAGTTCCCATCAGCAAAAACTCGTGGGTTTGCTATCCTGGCTCCAAAATGGTGGAATGAGCTCCCCATTGAAATCAGGACAGCAGAAAGCTTACACTTCTTCTTCAGACTGAAAACTCATCTCTTTAGACTCCACTTCGAGCGATAGAATTACTAACAAAGCACTTATATACTAATAAAGGGCTGGCTTATCTAAAGCCAGCTGAGTAGCACTTGAAAGGTTTGGCTCTATGAAACCTGATGTACTTATATGATTCTGTTTTCTTCAAGGTTGTCTCTTCCTGGTCGAATGCACTTATTGTAAGTCGCTTTGGATAAAAGCGTCAGCTAAATGTAATGTAATGTAATCAATGCCAGTAAAGTCCCTGTTTTGATCCGGACCAGAGACCTTGTATACAATTCACAAGTGGACCTTTAATAAAAAAGTTTGAGTACCCCTGGTATAGAGGATGCTTCATATTTGTTGTGATTAACATCTTGCATCGTCAGCAGTAGAAATCCAATACTAATCATTAATGGTGCTAATCATCATCATTACTCATCGTCACTTTATTTTGAAGTAGATTTCGCCTCGCTTAGCTGCTGCTGCTGCTGCTGCTGCTGCTGCTGCTGCTGCTGCTAGGGCCTCAGATAAGCGGCAGAAGATAAATGGATGGATACAATTGACTAACATGCTACAGGCTGCTTTTGTGTTTTCTGTCAGATCCAATTATTTTTGTTTATAGTTTGTCCAGGCAGAGCGACATTCTGTGTGAAAGGCTGGTGGTATGTTTGTGATGCAGCGTTTAGGACAAACAGCTGGAGGATGAGGAGTAATTGATACACACGTCCATGTAATGTTTCAGTGCTAGTACAAGCCGTTGCACTCAAGTAGTGTTGCATCACTTGTGAAACATTACATCATTACACTCCTCAACAAGCTTCTGTGTTTGTGCGTAAAGTTGTCTGTCAATAGAGTAGTGCGGTGATGACGTATACTTGTAGACTGAAGCAGAAGTGAGCATTGCAAAAAGTCCTGGAACGAACCATGAATCTTATTTCAGACATCTATTCACAAAGGGGTAAAAGAAAACCCTATACATTTAGGGGAACCTGAAGTGGTAACATTCCAACTCATTTCCAGGCTTTAGGAGTCTGCACTACTCAATTTGAGGCAGACGGACAGGCACCACAGCTGATGCCATAATAGGAGTTTAAGAGTCCTCAATGATGCGATTGAACTTTCAGTTTATCAGGTGCTACAGGGAATTACGCTCACAGCAACAATTCTGTTTCTACATTTGAAATGAGAAGCAACATCAAATCCTCTTTCTAGGAACAAATAAATTAGAGGGCAGCAGTATTGAGACTCCCTGTATCCCATAATAGGCAAGTCAATTGTTTAAAAGAAGCTTCAGGCAATGATTGCTAACTCGAGGTCAGAAACAAGCCTATGACCACATTGTAGGTCACAATAAGTATTTTATCCAAAAGGGCTCTTCCATTAAAACAAAAAGCATGACAGGATATGGAGGAATAAACTAGTCACAGCAGGATGTTAATCGAGCTCCAACGCTTGTCCTTTTGAATCACAGGGCATAACAGACTGTAGGTGACATAACTCTTAAACAACGTTTGTCATTGCCGCTGTGTTTACCTAAATGGGCATTTAATGCTCACCATTATGAGGTTGGACCACTTTGAGAAGATGTTAAGAGTCTAGCGTCTACAGAACGTTGGCTGTGCATCCAACACGTCGACAGGAAAAACCGGTTCTGATCTCGTTACAGCTAAAAAAGACATTTCATATTTACTACTCACTTCCTGATCTACAGACACACATGTTTGTCATTTCTCAGATCTCAACTTTCAGGTATTTAGTAGTGTTCTACCTTGAGGTGTACCGTCACCGCCTCAGCCTTTAGAACGACACCTTTTAGACATTTAGTCAAATATTCCTCCCATTATGAGGATGCATGTCCACTCACCACAGTTGACTTCGTCCTCTCCATTGTCGCAGTCCTTCTCTCCGTCACACTTCCAGAAGGTGGGGATACACTGAGTGGAGCCCGCTCCGCAGCTAAACTCGTTCACACGACACGTCCGCATGTCTGCAAGGGAGAGAAACACAACGTCAACATTGAATGGCATGATTTTGTATCTCCAATAAACACCTGGCTTTAGAAACCTCAAGGTCACATCCACATTGTTTAGTGTAGGATGTCAGAATGCTGCTAGGAAGCCACTTTATAAGCCAATTTTAAAGTACCAACTTAATTTATAACTCAATTCTAACTAACGGATTATAACCTAGACCAAGTGAACTGCCTGTAGCTGTATCAAAGATCTCCTGTTCACTTTTTAATAATATATAAACAAAGGGACAGAATGAGTGACACTTCTGTAGTTGTACTGTATATCATATGGGAGTCATAAAGTCCCACAGCTGCGGTGGCTCGGTGTTAATTTCGTTAACGAAAACTATGACGAAAAATGTTCGTCAACAACCTTTTTTACATGACTAAGGACGATGACGAGCTAAAAATAGATTCTTGATAACGAAAACTTTGACGAAATGTATATTTAGTTTTCGTTGACGATACGGGACTAAGGTGTTAATGGTGGACTAACGGACAATCAAAATGCAGGGTATTTTCCCCCAATTGTCCGTCAAAATGCATCTTACGTTTCTAACTTGCAATATCATTATTTCCGCTCTCTTCACTCCAGAAGAGCAATCTCCCTGTTTCTCTGTGTGCGGGGGGCGGGGCCTAACAGACACGCTGCAGCGGCACACAGAGATCTGCCGGGGACGGAGCGTTCAGAAGGGAGTGGGACACATGCTGGGGTCCTTGAAGTGTGAATGACTTTGTATACTGCAGGGTAGCTTGTGAATTTACTCCAGGTGGAATTAAAGTCTGATTTAACACTTGATTAGATTTCACATCATGCATCCACATCTGTAAAGTAACTAAAGGTATTAAATACATGTTGTGGAGTAGAAGCACAGTAGCAACACATTTAAATACTCCAGTAAAGTACTTCAACATTGTACTCAAGTACAGTACAATATTTTAACATAATTATATATATATTTCATTTATTTCACATTTAAATAAAGCAATTAATTTGGTTAACAATTTGTTAGTTTTTCCCTTTAAAAAATAACAAAAAGTCAATACNGTAAAGTGTTAAGAGAGTGAAATGTTGCTTTACGAATTTCAACACTTGATACCGTCACATTGATTCCAATTTTAGATAGGCCTACCTGCATTTGCCTAACTGAATTGGTTTAAAGAGAGAAAACATTTTGACTAAAAGTTGACTAAAACGTTTTGAGTTTTCGTCGACTAAAACTACGAAGGATAGGAATGACTAAAATGTGTCTAAAACTAATAACCATTTTCGTCTAAAGACTAAGACTAAGACTAAATCAAAAACAGCTGCCAAAATTAACACTGGCTCTACTTGTTGCCCTTTTGAGTGTTTCCCCCATGACAGCAATAGGACAGAAAAAGGACATGGCATGACTGGCTTTTTGTGTTGGAAATAATGAAGTTGAGCTTCAAGCTACCCGTCAAAAAAGACAATGTGAGACGTGAGGTGAAAACAAAGCTGAGGTCTAAACAACTGTATTCAGACAGTAATGTCATTACTCTTAAGTAAATGGTAAACACTTTCTCCTGCATATTATTTTTTAAGGACTTTTAAGATTTGAATCCGGCCTATCATTTGAGATGGTTTGTTTCTAGATAAGGCAGGCACTTTGTCTTCTGGAGGTTAAACTCTAAATCGTCCTTCATCACTAGGAACCACTTTTTATCCCAGCATACATATTCATCCCAAAGTGCTGGTTTCCATAAAAATGCAGCTTCAAGACGTCGTTTGCCTCTTATCCCTGCGATCTTCCACGGTGGAGGGAGATAACAAGCAGCGTGGCACAGAAGATCGGAGAGCGCTGCGATAAGAGCTGCTCGGCGGAGCGGCGGATTGAAAAGCTGCTCTCAAGGCTGCGGTGAATTATTGACGACTAGGATGTCGTTGTGTTGATACTCCATGTGTGCTGTGCACTCTCAAGTCAGTTTATGACAGTATACAATGCTTACTGTGGATCAGACTCAGCCTGTATCCAAACAGTGTACTGCAAATACTCTACTGTTCGTGAAGGGATGCATTTGTAAGTGCTCAACCACTTCAACATCACATATTGAATTGGGCCTCATAAGGAAATATGCAATGCCAATGTGATACAAGATGGTAACACTGTTGATACGTTTATTTGTTTTTGGTAGGTAGAATTGACATACTGCTGCTTCGTGTCCAAAATGTTTTTAACAGCAGGACATTTCTGTTACTTGTTGCAGGTTTGGAGAAAAGTGATATTAGTAAATGTTTATTATCAAGAGAGCTGCGTTTAAACACACACACACACACACAGTCAGTCAGTCAGTCAGTCAGTCAGTCAGTCAGTCAGTCAGTCAGTCAGTCATGTGCAACAGCTGGTCAGACAGTACAGTGATGTAACAGCAATAGTCTAGGGCTTGAACTGCACGTACACAAGTGTAGCTATGACTGGAACTTAACACCGCCACTTAAAAACACACAGGCCCATGCAACACGTGCACACGTTTGATGACCTTCAGTTGACGGCCAACCTTTCAAGTGGAAACACACACAGGTTGTACCATTGTATTTACACAAAAGAGACAAATGTCAGGAAGTTGACGAGTGTAAAGAGAGGAAGATCAAATGACACATCTGGCCTTTGTCACTGAGCTTCTTAGCAGGCAACCTCACTGATGTAGAACTTTTGGATTACAAAGGTGTGGAAATAAATGTTTAAAGAGGGAAAACTGTGAATTTGAAGAAATGATTCTCAGAAGAGGCGATAACTAATAGGCGTGCATTGTTGTCCATGCAGCATCTTTTAGAGACTATCACTGCAGGATTGCAAAGTCACAAATAATACTCTTCGTGTTTGGAACCCCCCCGAAAAAATATTTCAACTTAAAATGACCAAAACAAATGACTTTTTCGTGACGTCTGAATAAATGCAAGCTTGTTGTGGTGACACGTTAATTCTCTGCTAACCTACGTAATCCCAGAAAGCTTGGATAACAGCTACTAGCAGATTCGGGACACAACACGGCTACATCCATTATCTGGGGGATAATGTTCAAATTAGATCCAGCAGCTCCTCATACTGCACTGTACCTCCTTTGTTTTTTCTTTATATAAAAAGTTCTTGGCAACAGCAAACACACCAGCTTTGAATAATGCTGGTGCTTAAGAGACCCCCCAAACTGCACCACCCATGCTTTGGCACAGCGCCACACAGATCCCAATACAAGTGCAGCGGGATTTGCCCCGAGTCTAAGATCCAGTGTTGTTTTCTGCCAGAGGGTAGAGATTTTATTTGTGCATTGTTTCAGGTTTCTGCACTCAACCTGCTGTGTTGACACACAAACACACTGCAGCAAAAAGCAGAGGACTGCTCTGGGAAAACAGATGGTGTAACACACAGCTCTGCTTCCCCAGCAAATATCACCTCAAAAAGACTGAGTTGGACAGTGAGTGGGTCTCAGGTTATACTTCATAGTACATGTCTGGCTCAAGTATTGTTTGTTTGCTATTATAACCAAAAAGTAAAGATACATTTGACAACTAAACACCTGCGTGTGCCTTCCCTAACCAACCTAAGCCCTTTAGTGTTAGGACATAGTTGACAGCATGATGAATCTAGGAAATAAGTTCTCTATTACAGTGCAGCATTAGGTAACTCCATTAACAAGTGCAAGGTCAAACCATCAGCTTTCTAATAGGCAGTTGCATCATGTAACGATACATAAAAAGGATTTAAAAGGCTTTCAACTTAGGACCCCGAATGACATGCTAAGCTCTAAATATATCCACCGTGTAACCTTTATTGCTTTACTCATCAGTCCGAGGCCCTCTGCTCAGCCTTTGCCAAGGTTAAGGCAGTTTCTACATGTCGTATTGCTGAGGATTTGCTGTATACATTTAATATTTCTCTAGATATATGTATTCCTGCTTATTTTAAATCGTCCATGGTTGTTAATCATATTTGTATTGTCCTTGTACATCTATGTGCCTGCTGTCACTTGTTAAACAAACTATTACTCATGTTCTCTTTAACCATCCCTCCAATTACCCTTCTGTAAGTGCAAAGCTGACTTTCCTTTGATCGTTTTGGATAAAAGCAAGCATTCGTTTGTTTCATTTTAACGTCAACTCTTAAGGCTATATTTGTATCTATATCTTTTTGTGGTTAGCACCTGAGAAAAACACTTGATTCTGATATGGACTTAATACACGAGCTGCTGACAGATTGTTGTCTGTTCTTCTGCTAAGACGCTTTGAAAAGTCTCAACCCTGCAGCGAGCCTCTCTTCCGTCTCCCTCTCCTAAGTCTGCTTTTATCCAAGTACTTTTCTGCCTTTAGTTTGGGAATTGCCATGATGTTCAGTATTAACTTGGTACCCATGGATGAAACACACTTTATAGTTGACTTACTAAAATTGCCTTAAGCATTCAGGAAGCAGTAAATATGAAACCAACGTACGTGTGTGTGTGTGTGTGTGTGTGTGTGTGTGTGTGTGTGTGTGTGTGTGTGTGTGATGAGGTGCCTTCATCTTCCCTGTGACGTTTATCTCTGCGCTTGAGGAGACGCCGTAGTCCATTTGTCTTCGTAATGGCACGGTGAAGGCAGCGCTGGAGATGCGCTCAGTAAAAACGACATGTGTATAAACTTTCTGTCATCACTCATCTCCTTGATTCCAACGAGCACCTTGGGAAGACCTCCCATCATGGCTATACCATTTAAAGCTCAGCCGCTCTCCTCAGTTCCATTTAAACAACTTGTTTATTTGACATGGCAGCTCACAGGAGGGAATCCCCCCTCCCCCCTCCTTCACTGCTTTTTAAGTGCCTCTTTGAGTTTCTGCAACCATGAGATGGAACTACTGTAAAAGCAGCAGGAAATCTCTGTTGGAAATGTTCAGACAAACTCCCAGCGGGTTTGCCAACTACGCCAAATCTCAACTGTCATACCGTTCTCTTTAAGATAAGTGTTTTTGTCATCAATGAGGGCAAACCAGACTATGAGAAGCTAGTTGTAACTACTATATATGCTGTTGGCTAAATCAATGTCAGATAAATAGAGTATAGAAAGCCAAGAAAGAATACAAATTATATTATTGCCATATGACGTGTAGTATATTACATTACATGTCATTTGTTAGACGCTTTTATCCAAAGCAAATTACATTTTTTTGACATCTTCGTGGATTAATCTTCTTATTACAGACACATGCATTTCCTAACATTTGGTCTACCTACGCTGTAAAATGCATTATCTCTTAGATTTACACACGGCATCTATTGCACGTCTTTCCGTCCTGGGAGAGGGATCCCTCCTCTGTTGCTCTCCCTGAGGTTTCTCCCATGTTCCCCTTTAAACTGTGGGTTTTTTCTCTGGAAGTTTTTCATTGTACAATGTGAGAGTCTAAGGACAGATGGTGTCGTTTTCTCATACTGATATTCTGCACAAACTGTGCTGATGTATTTGCTGTAAAGTGTCTTTACTCTAGGTTATTTTTTATTATATGTACAGCACTTTGGCTCGACCAAAAATCGCTTAAAAATGTGCTATATAAATAAAACTTCATTTGATACATTCAGTACTGTGGACAATCCCCACAGGAGCAATTTGGGGTGAAGTGTCTTGCCCAGGGACACAACGACATGCTGACTGCAGTGGGACTCAAACTTAATACCCCCTGTCCTGAAATAACCTCTCAATCTACTTCCACGTCCCAAACACGTGAATTTATGTGGCCTGCTAAAAAAAACTCAATACAAGGTGTGTCTTTGAAAGCAGTTATGAAAATGTAGTAAATTCTCAAAAATATCAAAGCTATGACTGCCAAGGCACAC